TTTGCGTCAGTTAAACTTTCAGATAGAGATAAAGAAATTATCTTGTATCTAAGTAGTGGTGTAAGTATGCGGTAGTGGTGTAGTGGTAAGAGCGCTCGCTTTATAAGCGAGCGGTTCGGAGTTCGACTCCCACCACGTCCCTGGAAGTACCGTGCTCAACTAAATTTCTCCGCGCAGCGGTCTCACTTGTCAAGGTTCGTGTTTTGGAATTAAAGAGTTGAGAGAGGGTCGTACCATGATTTACAACAAAAAAAAAAAAAAATGAGTAGCCTCCTTGACTGTAGTGGCCCCCTCGGGCCTTGGGGAGGTGAATAATTAAAAAAAAAAAAAAAAAAGTGGTTATGTATTTAGTACATTTTATTGTAGAGTTCGCAGTTCGTGGGTATGGCAGCAAAAGTTAAGCACAGACTGCCTTTCACTTTTTAATGCTGGTAAAATATAACATTTTTGTAAATGCTAAAAATTGAGGTGGTTTATGGAAAGTGTCTCCTCCAGTTTTAGAAATCTTTACAAAAGTTAAACTTCTCTTTCGCCATCAAAGTAATGGTTTTGAAATAATTGATTCAGAACTGATTGTAGCCGAAATTTTAAAAGACAGTGTTGTTATGGCAAGCATATCTGAACTTCGTAGTCTTTGCACAAATCAAGTATCCAAAGAACTGTCATTAAACTTGTTTTATCATCTGGTTACACTTTATGTTAGAGTAAGATCTTTTTCATATGCAAAAGAAAAACTAAGTATCCACAAACTTAAAGTGAATCAAACAAAGTCAAAATCACTCTGTTTAAAAATGAAAAAAACATCAATTGGATTTGAATAAATAGTTAAATGTAATATCACGTTCAAAAACAGCTATTTTCATAGCCACAAATTTCACAAAAACATACTTGGCATAGAAACTCTGTTATTTATTTGTCATAAAAAATATTAATTTAAAATTTTTTTTTGATTTGTTTGTGTCAATAAGTAATAGGTAAGGCCCCTAAGACCCTTTGTGTCAATAAGTAATAGGTAAGGCTCCAAAGGACCATTATCAAAATGTAGTACAAAATTATAATATACACACAATAGTTTTAAATTTGTAATAAACAAATATTTTCACTTTCTGCTCTGACTTACTCATAGAGAGAGTGTGTTGCTTCATTAAGATCAGAACTGGGTATTTTTATTGTGATACTACCACTAGAAAGATTGCCATCCAAGGTTAAGGAACTCCTACCTTGATCAGGTCACCCTACTATAAATTATAGGTATTTTATATATATATATATATATATATATATATATATATATATATATATATATATATATATATATATATATATATATATATATATATATATATATATATATATATATATCAGGTGCGGATGTAGCATTTTCTGATGTTTGAGATTAATTCCAGACATTGAACAAACTCCAAAAATTTATGTTTATTTTTATATCAAATAAAGATGCTTTGCAAAAAATGGCCCTAAAATTGTAGCTACACCTGCCCAAAATGTGTTAGCAACAAGTTGATAAAATTATTTTTTATACTATTTTTATCTAAATCTATATTCATCAATGAAATTTAAAATTCAAAAATATTTTAGTATTCAAAAATTATGATCATAAAATCTTTAAACCCCCCTCAATTTGAGGGGTTGCAAATTTTATAAGGCTATAATTGTTGAACGCTAAGAAATTATTGTGTGAGTTTTAAAATTTATCGATGAATATAAACTAGGTTGAGAATAGTAAAAAAAAGTATTTTATTAACTATCTGCTCTCGCGTTTGGGGCAGGTGTAAAATCTTTGGGCTTTTTTGTTTCTAGTCTCCAATCATCGTAAATTTTTGCAAAGCATCCTTATTTGATATAAATATAAACATAAGTTTTTGGAATTAGTGTTTAATATTTATTTGAAAATGTTACCATCCTCAAACTCATGAAAATTAAAACTTTCAATGAAATTATGACTAAAAGCAACAAAACCAGGAAACAAACATTCAAAAAACTATTTAGAATTTGTATTAAAAAATATATTATATATGAAGAAAAATAGTCCTCTCTTGTATCCATTTGAGATTATATATATATATATATATATATATATATATATATATATATATATATATATATATATATATATATATATATATATAGGATCACTCCGAGCTCATTTGGTTCAAGATTAAATTATGACACCATACAAGTGAATAGGTGTCAAATAAAGATTTTTGATTTCTTATTTTACAGATAATGTAAATATGCTGAAAGCAAGCATTGAACCAATGATCTATTGCTTTTAATGCAAGCGACCTAACCACTACACATATAAAGGCACCCCCATGCACCCAATAAGAGGTAGGGATAGCAAATTTAGGGAGCTTTATTCAAACTATAGAGGTGCTTAAACCAAATTTGAGGAACTAATAATCTATTACATTATAATGAAATGTTTTTTAAAATTATGGTTTCTTAATGACAGGTTTTAAAAATACATTTTTTATATATCCAGTGGTACCTATGAAAAATAAATGAGCTTTAAGAAAGTCAACCAGTTTTACACCTGAATATGCACTGGTCCCATATACAATTTCATTGTTATCAGAGGTTCTATAAAAAATCCTAATATTTAAATAATATCATTATTAGAGGTTCTATAAAAAAGCATCTTAGGTGCTTGTTTACATTGTAACAAAAGTAAAACAAACAAAAAAATAAGACTGCAAAATAAACTTTTTTATTTATTATTTTAACAATGGATTTCTCAATTAACTGATCAATATTTTATGCCATTTAATGTTTTTAAAAAGATTTGTGGCTATGAAAATAACCATTTTTATGCAAAATCATTTACTTGTTTTCAGCAGTACAAGGAGACATAAGAAAGTTTTTTTATTAAAACACTTGAAAAGTCAACTTTTTCTATCAACAGATTTTTCCGAGTAAGTCCATTTTCTGCGTGGTATACGTGTCATATTCTCGTTCATTGACATTTTGTTTGATTCATTAAGATTCAGACAGTTACCTGCAATTGGGTGAAATATATGTTGATTTTTAATAGTATTATCATTGAATCCAAAATCAAACAAGGAAGGATTATCTTTTTTTCTACCAATTGACTGTTGTTGTCCGAAGTAATTTTCTAAAGGATCCTGACAAAACCTTTCAGTTAATACATAACTTACATTGTTATTAATTAAATATTTGACAAGTTTAATAACAGAATTAACTGTGATCTTTATACCTTCATGGGTTTGCCAAGTAATAAATATATTACTTTTATCACTTTTTGAAAAATTTCCAGGTCTTGATTCAATAGAAAAAAGCCAATCAGTAAGGTACTTAAAAAATTTTTCTTTTAACCATGTAAATCGAATATCATTAGTATCAGAAAATGGTTTCAAAAATGAGTTGCGTTTTAATATGTAATCATTTGTATTACGAACATTTAAGCAATCAAAAAAATCATTAAAATATTTGCAAAACTGTGCAGTTCCAGCAGTATTAGATGGTGGATAGATTTCTAATGCAGTACTACATGAATTACTTAAAACTTGTGCAGCTAAATGAACATTCATAGCTGAAAATGGAGTTATTTTGATGTGCTCATCGGTTAGCTTTAGACATGCATGCAATTGACATTTTAAATCTTCATAAAACAAATCAGTTATATGAGACCATAAAATATGTTGACACTGACTCCACATATAACGATTGCTTTTACCAGCTCCAGAATGAGAAAGGCTGTTCCTTGCTGTTTTAATTAAATGAGGGACATCAGAAATAAAATATATAAACCTTTTATCGTCATCATCAGCAAATAAATTATCAGTGTGTCACATCACATGACAAGTCACATGACCATTATTATCTTCTTTCTCAGTCAGATTAAAATGCATTTTAAAAAATTTTCTATTCGATGATGCTTCATCACAAGTAACTGCAACTACTTTTAAACCAACTGAGATTTCTAAAATGCCTACAGCTTTCCAAAATAAAGAAAATAATTGCACTGATGTAATATTTATAGTGGCAAAGTTTGCAAAACTGTATTTGAAAGGATTTACAATACTTCTTATTAAGAAAACTAATACATGAGAAGCAAGTTTGTCAGCCTGTTGTAATGTTGCAAAATTAACAACAAGATCACCCAAATCAACATAACCAATTAATTCTCCAGAATGTTTGTCCCAAACAAGATTTTCTTGAATTTTCATTTCATCAAGAACTAGGACAATAAACTTTTCTTGAGCTGAAAAATGTTCAACTTTATCTTTCAATTCTTTGATTATATTTTTATTAAATCCTAATTTTGGCTTCACATAATTTTTATAGTCATGCAATCGCCTACGACTTGGTAAAACTAAGAAACCAAAATTATTTTTCTCATTTAATCGCACTGCTTCATAAGCAGCTGGTAATTTTGCAGCTAATCCCAAACAGAAACGTACTATTGCTAGATGATAGCGAATCCCTTGCTCACAGCTTTTTAAATATTTTTGCTGCTCTTCCCAAAACAAGCTCATAAATGGAGAAATCTAGCTTTTATCAGCTCCTGTCATTATTTGAACTAAATCACTTTCAATACCTTTACTTATAGATAGTGATGAATTTTCAATCTCCTGCTTCATCAAAGCTAATTCATTTTTTAATTCTTTATTTTCCAGATGAATTTACAAACTAAAAATGAAATGAGGAGATCATGAAATAAGTTGTTAAATTCAAGGTGAGACACTAAAAATCTGTTGATTATGAAGTAAATCGATGTATTTACCCTTATATTATCCTATATAATGATTCTTGATTGCATAAAGATTATTTTTTTAATTTTTTCAAAATCAAAGTCAATGTTTTAATATAAAATAGAAATTTGTTAACCCCCCCCCACCTTTTTCATAATTTAAATTAATTACATGTTAATTATGTAAAATAAACTTCATAACTTAGTTAAAAACTAACACTGATTAATTTAATTACCATTAAAAATTAAAGAATTGAAAAATGTGAACCTCAGTTAAAGCTCTCCAATCCATATTGGCACTTCCAATATAAATATTTTTTTGATCAACTAAAATGACTTTGGAATGCAATATACCTGCATTAACTAAACGTGTCATTTCAAGAGATCGAACCTCTACATTTGATAATTCTGCAAGCTCTTTTGTATTCAAATCTGGATACTGATCATTTGGCAAGCTTTGAACAATGCGAACTTTAACACCTATTATAAAGTTAAGATCAATTACTATATATATATATACATAATTATTAATTTATTTTGTAAAAAACTTAAAGATAGAAATATTTGGAATAAACATGCAAAATTTCTAAGGTTCTATCAAAAGTAAACCTTTATAATTTTTGTTTTAAATAATAACTTTTAATAAAAAATACTTTTATATAAAATAGTTTTTAATAATGTATACCACTTCACTTAAACTAATTAATTTGAAGAATCGGTTTTTCATACTTTTTATAAGATTTTTCAAACAATATTCCCCATAAATTTTAAATAGGGTTCAAATCGGGTAAACATGATAGCAAATTCAAAACATGTATATCTTTTTCACTATTTAACACTTCTTGCCGTATGAATTGCAGCATTAATTTTGACAAAATTTTTTGGGCACGTCTTGCAAATCAAAATCTTACTCAAACTTCAATGCACTTAAGTGTTCAATTAAACACTTATTAAGTGTTCAATTAAACACTTATTAAGTGTTCAAAACAAACTGATGGAACTATGGAAAAATTGCGTGTTTTTATCAATCAAATCTAACGTATAAATTTATTTATTTTTTGCTTTACGTAACATGTTTTGTTTATTTATATCTTTTAAATATGTTAAGTCGCTTTTCTTTTTTGCATTAATGGCAAGCTTATCAGACTTGTTAGATAAGAACTTTGAATAAGTCAGCATTTTGCTCTGACAACTTTTAACTTATCCCAAACAATCTTTTGCCAAATTATCGATTTCTTTTTTCAGTCTTTTTCTTTTTTAAGTCTTCAAGATATCAACTGTTTGCACCTCTAGCATTGCTGCATCTCTCTGCCAATATGATGCTTTTAGGATTTTCTTTGGAAGACAAAAAATGGGTGTTCAAAAGATAGTTATTACTGTCTTATGATACATAAGGCAACAAGTAACTCTCACTGAGTTCTCTTCTTTACATCTTCTTGGATTATCATTTACTAATGACCTCTCAAGAAAACCATATATTTTTATTTTTATTTATTTAAACATCTTCACTTCCAACAAGGCTGCAAGCAACCACTAATTAGTGTTGGAAGTTACTGGAAGAGAAAAGATGAAGATTGTAGAGCAAGATAACGATTGACAGACGACTTAAAAGATTGCAAATTATATGAATCAGGAAAGCAAGATGAAGGAAGCTAATTCCAAAGAATTGATGTTCGAGGAAAAAAACTAGACGAATAAGAGTTTTTTGAGCACTTAGGAACAGTAACAGAAAAAGGATGAGACTTAATTAAATGACAAGTAACACGAGAATAAATTTTAGTAGATGGCACAAAAGACGCTAGCTCTTTAGAGCAGTGCCCATTATAGTATTTGTAGAAAAGTGAAAGAGAAGCAACATTACGACAATGTGGCAGAGGTTGAAGGTTGGCTGCAAGAGTAGGTCCAACTATGTTTACAATGCGTTTTTGCACCTTGTCTAAAATAGAAAGAGCATCATTAGAAGATCCACCCCAGATATGGCAACAGTATTCCATACAAGGCCGGATTTGAGATTTATAGAGATAGAGAATAGAATCCAGAGTAAGAAAGTGACAAGCTCGATAAAGAGAAGCATCTTTAGCAGATGCTAACTTTGCAACGGATTTGATATAAGGTTTCCAAGAAAGATCAGAAGTAAGAGTTAATCCTAGAAGATGAAGGGTAGGAGACTTATCGAGTACATTACCGTTCATAAATATAGGAAAGTCTAAATTATTGCGATAACGATTGGCTAAAAAAAAATTGAGTTTTATCTGAATTAAAGTTCACCATCCACTGTGAGCCCCATGCTGTAGCAGAAGTGAGATCCTTTTCAAGCTCAGATGCCCCCTAGAAGCAATCAGAGGGAGTTGGCTTCTTATCATGACAAGAATAAATGATAGTATCATCAGCGAACAATGCCACCTTAAATGTGAGAATATCTGGAAGATCGCTAATGTAAATTAAAAAGAGTATAGGGCCAATGATTGAACCTTGGGGAACCCCTGAGGTTACAGAATAAGAAGAAGAGTGCTGTCCATCAAGGAGAACTTTTATACTACGATTGGAAAGGAAGGATTCAATAATCTTAAAGATATTTCCAGATACACCGTAAGAAGAAATACACAATCAATTTCAAAGTTAGAATTTACTAAGTTGCTTCTCTTTATCATGCTCACCTTTATTTTACTCCTGATTCTCTACCTTTACAAATTCTTATTTGTCCATGTATGATATACTGTTGTCATATTTAACCTGGTTACTTAAAGTAAAGAATAAAAATTATTGATCATGCTCCTTTAATAAAAACTCATTCTTGCATGACTTGTCATTCACTTCAAAAGTTCCATAACAAGTATATTTAAATCAATCTAACTTACACACTTTCCAAACCTCTTAATAAGCCTTACTTTTCCCAATGAAGTCAGAGAAAAATTGATTAATGTTCAAAATATATTATAGAAATTGCAATGATAACAATATATAACAAAAAAAATACTAAACATCAATGCATTACTGAATGGAGAAGAACTTACTTGTAATAATAAAAAATTCTTAAAAAACTTTTTTTTTTTTTTTTTATAAATTCACTTCCCCAAGGCTGAGAAGGCCACTACAGACAAGGATGCTACTTAATTGTGGTTTTAACCCTCTCTCAACTCTATAACTCAGAAACACGAACCTTGAAAAACAAGACTGCTGCGCGGAGAAACAAGTTGAGCGTGGTATTACCAGGGAGGTGGTGGGGAACTCGGAACTTCTCGCTTATGAAGCGAGCAATATACCAACACCACTAGTGCTTTTTATTATTTCTTAGAAAAAAAGGGTTTAATTTCCTGTACTCATTCGCACCATTTTGAACTACAAAAGTGTTAAAAAACAGGCTTTTATTAAAATAAAACAAAAATCATTGGCAAATAAAGCAAAAAAATCATGTTTTTTTTTTTTTTTTTTAATTACAAATTATCTTCCTTAGTCATGTCACAATGTTAACTAATAAATTTTGAACCCTTGTTATGACCTTTGCTGATTTATATTAAGTATAACAGGTTTTAAACAATTTCTGATATAGTATTGACCAATATTGGTCAATACTATATCAGAAATTGTTTAAAACCTGTTATACTTAATGTAAATCTATTATTTAACCCTTTCGTTACCGGGCTCGGCAACCTTATATTACCGTGACAAAAAATGGTGTTTTAACCCAACTACCATCGAAACTTCATTATGGGTTTAAAAAATGTTCAATTTATTTAAAAATTGGCTCCTTTTTAAAGTAGCAATTTATCTTTCATAAAATAAAACTAAAACTAAAAAAAAAAAAAAATCATCAGGTCTTGTGATCAATAACGGCGGATTTTGAAAACTAAATAATATTTTAATTGTAAGTTTAAATAAATAAAAATGTATCTTATTTTCATCAGATATTTTTCAAATTTAGAGTCAACAATCAGACATATAATAAGTAATTCTGAAAAGTTTCAAGTCTTGAACATCATTTTATCATAAGTTATTATATTTATTAGGTTAGTGAGTCTTTAGGTCAAAAATTTAAATTATGATGCTTTTTTCAAAAAAGAACAAAAACAAATAAAAAAATCAAAAAGTAACAACAGTAAGACATGTCAAATAAAGAAACATGGGTATACACTAATTTCTACACTAAATCTAGCACTGTGTGATAAATTTCAAAGCAGCTATCAATATGTAGTCCTGGCTCACCGGGGCAAGTTTTGCATACATGCACAGTTTTTAGTGGTTTGCCATTGTTATTAAAAATTCGTTGTGCATAGCAAACTCTGTATAATTTAGGTGGACGTCTATCTGTTGCATCATGTGATGGCTGTTTGGTTCCTGGAAAATGATGCCCAGTAAGCCTGTATATAGTACCATCAGGAACAAGTGATTTGTTTAACTTTGGTGATGATAAAAATATTACTTTAATTATGTCGTGAAGAAAATCTAAGAAAGTGATACTCTTATCGCAAGTGTACTTTACAAAAACCTTATGGCTATTTAAAATACCCTGGAAATAAGCCTCAATGCTAGTTTACGATACCACTTGTAAGTTTTTCGTAACAGGTGCAAGCTCTGGAGTTGTTGGTCAACACGATCTACACCACCCATGTGGCCATTGTATTCTTTTACACAAATTGGTTTTTTAATATTTATTCCACGAGTATTTTCAATAAGTCTCATGGATGGTTGGTGACATGTTGATAGCATGTAGACAACTTTTTAATTTACCTGAAGCTTTATCTTTCGATGAACGGAATTTGCAAGCCAGCATTTGACTGTTTGCATCATTATTTTTATAAAAAACTGCATCCCCTTTTTCTAAAACCTCATTAAGAATATCTTTTGAATAATTATATCGATTTGACCTAATTGCGCCACATAGATGTGTCTTGTTATTAAGAAAATACTTTGCAAGTGTTGTACTAGTGTAATAAATGTCTGTATAAAGAGTGTGACCTTGACCCATAAAAGGTTCCATCAGCACAGATGGTATTCTTGCTGATGATCTGATCATTTGATCTGATCATTTATATCATCATCAGCAAACATTCCTTTACCACAGTATAAAGGACGTCTAGTGTTATTCCTTCTGAAGTTGCTAGTTCATATAACTTTATCCCAAAACGAGTACATTTGGTTTTAATATATTGATGGAAATGTAAACGACCCTTATAAAGGACAAGCAATTCATCAACACTAAGATTTTTTCCTGGTTTATATACAGTTTTAAATCGATTACGCAGAATGTTTATGACTGGTCGTACTTTGTGAAGGCGATCTCTGTTTTTATCAGTTGCATCATAATTTTCATCTTCATTGTTATTAAAATGAAAAAACTTTAACAATATATTAAAACGTTTTTGACTAATAACTTCTAAAAAAATTGGAGTATTATACAATGCATCTTTTGACCAATACATACTAAGTTTGGGTTTATAAATAACTCCCATTAAAAGAATGACAGCAATAAAGGTTTTAATTTCTGCAACATTAGTTTCCTACCACAAAGAAGAGTTATCTGGATTAGCAGCAAAAAACTGCCTTGCATACCGATTGGTTTCTGCAATTAACAAAGTTATAAGTTCATCTGGAAAGTAGAGTTCAAAAAAATCAAGACAAGTTGGGTTTTTCCCTATTCTAACATTTAAACCCTCTTGAAAAAATTTAGGGAAATCCATTAGATTACTAGGAACATCTTTATTAACTTTTTCCCAAGTTGATAGAGGAAGTTTCTGACTACTATTACGTACTTTATTACAACTAGGCACTCTACCACGATTAAGCACTCTACCACAATGATGCACTCTACAATGTTTATGCATACTACCTTGGAGAACATTATCAAGTGTATTGACATTAAATGCAGCATCATCAGCAATAGGCTCTCTATCGTTAGCATGTATAGGATCAGCATCACTTTTTACAGAAATTACTTTATTATTACATTAAATACCAGTACCCCCTCAAACACGTACACGTCTGATACCTCGACCTCTTGTACGTGGGCTCCTTTTATGAGTGTCAAAAGTTTTAATTTTGCTGTCACTTGTGCTTGAAACACAAAAGCTTTCACTTTCAGTATAGTTAATCGATGGTAAAATAGAATTAGAAAAAGGAACAGCAGCTTCCAATTTATCGACATTGTTTTTATTTGTAACTTGAACTTTTCTTTGAATATTAGTAGAAGTCATACTGTTTTCAACTTCAAATTCTATTAAATTATCATCCTCATCATTACTAAAGTCACTATCACCAAAATCAATACTTTGATTGCTATCTTTGTCACTTTCTTCAAGTACAAAGTTTAAAATTTCGTCAATGTTTGAGATTTTTTTTTGACGTAAACAAGATGAACTAGCCATTTTTCAAAATTGAATAACAACTAATCTAACAAAGCTTTTTTCATGCGGTTTTTGCTGTATGATTGGATTATTATTCTAGTTTCTATTAAGCTAAGTTTTAAAGTCGCTCAAAAAACCAGGGGTTGACAGAAAGCAAAACTCTTCATCCACCGCTATGCGGGGTACTGGTATATTAATGACATATTTTATTACCCGCTATGCGGGGTATCGGTAACGAAAGGGTTAATAGTCTTTTCAACATATATCCTAGATGAATAATACATGCTGTTTGAGTATTTGAACTAAAAAATTTTATGATAACTTGACTTTAAGTTAGTTTTGTCAATTTAGTGAATTGCACTAATTATTTCTTTTAATAATTGCATAACTTTATTATTACACACAGTTTTAACACCATTTATTTTTAAATATTTTAATTTATAACATTTACCTATTTTAATTCATAACATTTTTTTATTATTATTTCAATTATAATTCATCAATCAACTAATATATGACAATGCAACATTCTTAAGAGAAAGATGCGATTTGTTGCTTATTCAACCTCCATCCACTCAATTATCAGTTGTTTCTCTCCTTAAAATATGAGTCTGATAGTTAAACAAGTTTTCGTAATTCTTTCACCAGATGCAATCACTTTGATGTCCATTATAATTCCAAATCCCAAAGATTTTATACATTTATCAGTTTAAGAAACTTATTTTCAAAAGTTTTGTAATGTTTTTAAACAATCACATTTACATTACCCATTTACATTAAAGATATAGTTAAATTTGTGATCCAAAATTTTACTTCATTTTTGAAAATTTACTCTTTACCTGGTTTAAACCAACATTGTTTTAAATGATTTAAACCATTTCGTTTAAACCTATCAACCTTGCTATAATAAATATAATAACTCTGAAATTATTGATTATTATCCTATTCGTTTATGTTTTATCAAATGTTTTTCATTATTATTTAAAAACTGAAGAAGTCACTTCCGTGTAAGTGTGTAAGTAAAATCTTTTACAAATATACACAAAATTATTTAGAAAAAATGACATACTCGTGAATCTTAGATTTTTTTTTCTGTTTTTAGCTCTATATAAAAATAAAATCATTCTTCGATAGTAAGATTAATAGCTACTATAATATTTTACTATTCTTTTTTATATTTAAATTAAATTCTTCTTTATATTTACATTTAAATGTCGTATTTTAGATAACACTTTAATGTAGGTAAATTGAAACTAAAAAATGTACCTCAAAATCAATTAAATAAGGTATTCCAAGTTGAAAAATTAAATGCATAACAAATAAAAATTTATGTGCAGAATATTTCAAATTTATCCATCCTTAAGTGGAATAATGCTTTAGATAATGCTTTAGGATTAAGACAGTAAAAAAGCACTCAAAAGAAATCTTTCTACATTTAAATTTCTTTGAATTTATTAATTCTTAACTCCACCTAAAAATAATGTATAGCTTTTTATATTAGGCAAATATTTTTAAAAAGTTTTTAAAAAAATTGTCATGTCATTGAAGTTATAACTAGATAACTGTAAATAAAGAACTCATGAAACGCAATCATGTCTTAAAAGAACTCATGAAACACAATCTTAAAAACAATTAGTAAAATAGGGGAAGTCGGTTTGTACTTATTTAAAAAAAATAATCTCATTAATAATAAAAAAAAAAAAATTTTGCTACGTTTTAAAAAAACCGTAGACAATCTATTTTGCAATCTTAAATGCTTATATTTATTTCCTGATTGTTGTTTAATGATATAGTAAGAAATTGTGCGAGTTAATATTGAAAATTTTACTTCAGTTTTATACAGCAATACTTAAAAATGCAACTTGTAACTTTTGTCAATAATTAGCATTACTACAATAATTTCTCATATAAAACATCATAGTTTTGATAGTTTTATGATAAAAGTATTGCTTTTGGTAATAAAAGAAGATGGATAATGTTAGAACTGTTCCTTTTGTGCTGTGTATCAGTCACACTAACTGTACCAAAAAAAGACAAATACTACATTTATTATACAATCACAAACTTCATTGCTCAACGGAATCAATTTTTTTCTGTAAAAAGAATGGAGCATGTTTGCTAAGCTCCCCCTCCCTCCTCATACTTCTTACAGCATGCAACGTATTGCCTCTTGATATTAGGATATTTTCCATTTAAATCATAGTGTAGCCTCCTATGACTAGCTTTTATCAAATCTTGGAAAAAAATATCCCGCTATGGCAGGAAAGATGGCAGGATCATTATTTTTGCTTTGATAAAATTTTGCAAATTGTATTGTGAGGTATTCCATGAGAAAGTGGGACAAATTTTTAAGGTTTGTAACCCACCATCTCAGATTTCCTTCATACTTTGTAAAAATGGTCACCTATATAACATAGACTAACTTGCAAAATTTTAGCACTAATATCAAAGGAGTTTTGGAGATATCATTACTTTAAAATCAGCTATTTTTTGCAGTTTTTTTTGTTTGGCTGCCATTTTGATTTTACTATAGTTTTTATTTTACAAGTTACTGTTTAACTAAAGATGTAATTAAGCTTAAAATTAGCACCTTTATAGTTTTTAGGACGAGGAATCGGAATATAATATTTGTTTTTAATAAAAATAATTTGAAGTTTATTAATATTAGGATTGTACTTTACCTATAGCTATTTTTGAAATTTTAACAAAAGCAGAAAAGAGGTCTGGCAACCATGGTAGCATTAATTTAAAAAAAAAAAAAATTATTTTTTATTAAATTAGATATATAAAAGAGTGTTTTGGTACAAAATTGAGAGGTGGGTTTTTTGAGGATTTTTAAAAATAATTAAATGAATTTAGTGAAAAAGTACATTTGGATGTTACTTATTAAGAAATTTCTTATTTTGAAAACTTCCATTATAAGAAAAAAAAACCATTAACAAACGTTAAAATGAAAAATTCATAATAGATGTAATATATTAAGTCAAAATAATCAAACAAATACAAGCTTTAAATAAAAAATTAGTCAATAAAAAACCAGAACTTGCATCTAAATAATTCATAAATTGCTTATATAAGAAAACTGGTGTAATATGATTGAGTTAATTTAAAAATTGAATTTTATGCAAATCATCAGTGTCTATCTGGTATATGCGCCCTGATCTTGAAAATGATGGTTTTTTTTATCATAATTAAAATATGGGGCTTTGGAACCCAACAACAATCATCTCTATTTGGCCAGTGTAATGAAGTGTTAGGTAAATGAGGATGCATGAATTTTACAAGAGCATCTTCATTTCTTTCGCCAACTTCAAATACCAAACCAACCCAGTTAAACATATCATATTTGCAGATATAATATTTTCCTACAATGATTTCTTGAAGGTATTGAATTGAGCCAGTAAGGTTGAATGTTAGATTAAACTCCTCCTGTTCAGAGACTCTTTTGACATTTATGCTTGTTGCATCCTGTTGAATAAATTGGTGGAAACTTCTTGTACTAGGTAAAGTCTTTGCATTATTCAATCAGAGAGTCAGAGATTTACGGACTGATAAAATATTTTCGCCTTTTAAAAAAAAGAAGTGGATGCCAAATATATTATCTTTTGAAAAATTAAACATTTCTTCAGCACTCTGAATTTGTAAGTCAATTGGACGTTGAAGACTAGCATTTGAAACAAGTCTTTTAACTGTTCCACCAATGCCATCACATGGTGACGTTCCATGTGATGTTGCAAAGAAATTCTATTCACATTGCATCCCAAAATCTTCAACATGATGACATAAATTTAAAAAACGTTTGCAATTTTTGTACTGACCAGCACAACCATCAGAGAAATAGTGGATTTTTATGGTATTGGGAAACATTTTTTGTACAAATTGGACAGTTCTTTTTACTATACAATAAATAAATCCAACATCGTGTGTTAAGTCATCAGATATAAAACATAAAGACATTGGTTGACTTTTAGTAGAACCCTCATCATTTTTGTTATAAATAACTACAGGATGTAGTGTGCATTGCTGTTGGTTCCAGTGGTTTTTGGATTTCGTCTTGAATGATTAATCTAAAGTTTTCTGCAAAATCAACGAAAATAATAATTTCATTTTTGGGTATGGATGACTTTAATGTATTTAAATATTTACTTTGTGCTTTAGCAATATAGAGTGAGATGTTATGCTATCAAGTTTTCCACTAAGACTTTCAATGAATTCACTTATTGTACATGTGTTACTTAGGAGCTCTGCTCTATCTGTTGTACTCCATTGTTTGTATTCAATTGTTTCATCTTCATCCACTTTGTCATTCTCTTCAAATGATCCTTCATTTTGCAATAGATTTGCAGTCATATAATTTATAATATTTTGAATTCCAGGGCATTGATTACATCTATGGACCATGCATTCCCTTGACTTTCTGCTACAAACAATCTTCTCAATAAGTTCATGGTAATTCTCCTCCAGTTTAACTGCGCTAAGCATAAGCTTTAGGTTTTGGTGTTTTGCGCATATACAAACAGCATGGGTTCCTTTTCGATCAGCATAAATACACCATTTTGGCTTTAACTGAGCAAATTTAGAAAATCCTATTTTGGATTGAGGGTGTTCTAGTTTGAATTCAATAAATAATTCCTTTAAATTGCAAAGAAGTAATCGCTTTGATACATGTTTATTTTTGGATACACTTACAAAATCTTTTATACCTGGTAACTGCCTACTAAACTGATCATTACAATAGAAGCTTTCCACCTTATTAATGATATCTGATTCAATTCTAACAATGTTAGTTTTTTCTGGAAGTGTTAATATTCCTTTTTCAAATTTAAGTTTTCTTGCTTTAGTTATGGTTGATTTTGATATATTAAATACTTCAGCTGCTTTCCTTAAAGACCATGAATCTGGAACCAATGTTAAAATCTGAATCTTTTCTATTCTATTTGCTGTTTTTAGCTTTTCTTGCATTGAAAGTATCAATTTATCTAGATCTTCAGCTGTCTTCTGATTTTCAACATTGGGCTCCCCAGTAACATCATTTTTCAGGTCTGTTGCGTTAACATTGAGGATTTGTGACATAACATCAGTAGCTTGGATTAACTTTCTTTTTCCTAGAGAAATTTTAACATGTTGTGGAACCCCATGAAATTTTACTGGCGAAACATCTAATTTATCAAAACTGGTGTTTATAAGTTCTTTTTCTTGTGCCATTTCTATATTTTCATCAAAAAATGTTTGTTCCAGAAAATCATCTTCACCATTGTGATCCTGTAAGGTAGACCAATTATCTATTTTTTTTTACCACTTCTTTTCGACATGAAGGACACATTTTAAAACCAGGTGTTGTTTTAATACCAATTGAACACATATCTTTTGCCAGTTGAATATCAATTTCTCGCAAACCACCTATAAATATATTATAAATGAATAAAATTCACCAAAATTAGGAAATATTAATTTAGATAATATAATAATGTTAGGAATAAAATAAAAAAATTAAAATTTTTTAAACTAATTGAAAGTGTACTAGATGTATTTTTTGTAAAAAGACAGCACAATAAGTTAAAAACGTAAAAATTTACCCTTTATATTAGTTTTATGCTTTTTAAATGGGTCAATGCAATTTTTTTGGGAGTTAGCAAACCGGTTAAGTAAAATTTGTTCATGATGTAAACAGATTTTAACATTAACATTTAATATTGATAGTCCAGATCTCCATAATAATAAATTTCTATCTTTCTCTGAATAGCTTGATAAATCTTTCAATCCAATTGATTTAGTGTACACCATTTTATGACATAGATCATTTGATAAAATACCAAGTGTACATAAAATCTTGTTCATTTTATTTTTTTCAATTTTTTAATAAGCTATAAATAAACACAAAATAAACAGACATATTTAATACATTTTAATGCATTTATTAAAAATAGAAAAAATATTTACCATTTATAATTAGTATTTTAAAATATGTACAATATATAGTAATTTATGTATTTATTTTTTTAACTTTGATTTTATAAATTTTTTTTAAATTAATGATTAGCTATGGAGAACAAACAACAGCTGGTAAAACATCAGACTAATCAGACTAAGTCTTAGGGTTTTAAATATTGAGTTTTTCTTCTGTTTTAGTCAAAGATGACATAATATGTCATTAATTAGAAAGCAAAAATTTAAAAAAGAAATATTCATTTGAAATAAAGTTTCTTTAAATAATAGGTTAAAAGGATTTCTTTTTTATAATATTTTTGATAACTAATGAAAATTGGAAATGTCAATTAATTTAAAATAAAATCATGAATACAAACCTATAATACTTATTTTTTCACATAATACTCCTATATTTTTACAAAAAATTTTAAAAAACCCACCTTTACATTTTGCACCAAAAAACTAATTAGCATATCAATTTAAATAGAAACAAAAAAAAAAATCACAAAAAAATAATGCTACCATGGTTACCAGACCTCCTTTTTGCCTTTGTTAAAATTTCAAAAATACCTGTAGGTGAAGTACAATCGCCATATTGATATAGTTCTAAATATTCTCATTACAAACGAATATTATATTCTGATTCCTCGTCCTAAAAACTTTACTGGGGCTCATTTTCAGCTTTATTACATGTTTAGTTAAACAGTAACTTGTAAAACAAAAACTGTAGTAAAATCAAAATGGCCGCCGAACAGAAAAAACTGCTAAAAACAACTGATTTTAAAGTAACAATAACTCCAAAGCCCCTTTGATACCAGTGCTAAAATTTTGCAAGGTAGTCTATGTTATATAGATGACCATTTTTACAAAGTATGAAGAAAATCTGAGATGGTGGGTTACATACCTATCCCACTTTCTCATGGAATACCTCTTGTAGAATAGTTGTAGATTGTCTACAGATTTTTTAAACATAACAAAACTACTTTTTATATCAATAATGAGAGTTTTAAAAAAACATATAGTCAAAGGTACCCATCCAGGTAATTAAAGCTATAATCAGCCACTTAGACATTTAATATGAGAGTTGTAGAATTAACAAAAATCAAGATTATAAATACATTAGTTGTTAACTTTACTTTGTTTAAATCCATAAATAGCAATGCTACCAAAGTTCATTTATTTCTAGCAATAAGTCATTTAAAAATAAATAAATAAAAAATCAAGTGGTTGAATGTTCCCTTATCCATCACAATAATTTCAGTAATTATGTCAGCAGTTGCCAAAATTTTAACTTTTCCCTTCTCATCAAATAACCTGAAATAAATTCATTAATAACTATGCAATATTACTATTTACTGTACAAAAAAATTTTATTAGGCAAGAAGGCAAAAAAATATTATAGTGTACACATCTTATCAGAAAAGAATACGAAAAAGTTATTAATTTTAGTTTTATAATAATAATATAATTGTAGTATTTTGAATCTAGTTTTTAAGTTCAATTTTTTTAAATTTGCAATTTATAAATATTTAAAGTCCGTTATTTAAACTTAATTTTTTTTTACCTGTAAATTTCTATAGAGTTTAATAAATGTAGTTTTTATATTAAAAGTGCACTGCATAACTCACATCCATAATTTAATGTGTAAAACTTTGACTTTCAGAAAATGATTTGTAATACTTTAATATAGAAATTGTTAAATAACTGAATGAAATATTTTGTTTAAGCTGTGGCCTGCTTAGGCTATTCATTTTTTAATTCTTACCATTTTTAGCAGAATTTTTAAGCGCATCAAAAATCTTTTCTCCAACTTCAGCTTGAGTATAAGGTCCCCCAGGAACATCAGAACTTTTTAATGTCCAATAAAATGACAGAATGTCAATCCTACTCTTTGCATTATTAATCATGTATAACCAATGTTGTGATATAGAATCGTGGGTGTTATTAAATTCTAGAATTGGTGGCAGTGTTTCTACAATTTGTAATGTGCATTGAGAATTATTGCACGAATCATTTTGAAAAGAACGCTTGCTATTACCAGCTAACAATTTTGTTTTTGAAAAAAGATATGCAACTACAAGGAAAATAGCAAAAACCATTAAAAGTGAAACAGTTATTATAAAAGCTCTCTTTTTCCATTTGTGTACAGTATATTTCAAAATTATTCCTGTATTTAAAAAATTTTTTTTTTCAAGCATTCTTTTATTTGCAAAGTTGTCATCACTGAAAAACGTTTCATCAGTTGTAGAAAGCGTCATTGCTGAATCATTTTCGTATGAACACATGATAAACAAACTCAGATGTGTTTTGTTGATGTTATTGTTTGTGACGATAACGGAACCGAAACTAGCAGTGTAACCTAAAAACTAGTCAATGAATACTTCCGAAAGCAAAGTCCTTCTCAGAAAACCATTGCATGCTTACTCAATGCGACTAAGGCCTGGTACACGTTTTTCCGAACAAAAATATAAGTTTTTTCGATTACAATAAGTTTTGTAATTGAAAAAACTTATATCTGTAAGTTTTTTCATCAAAAAGTATGACATATTTGGTATGTATGAAAAGATTATTTTAACCACTATTATAATCTGGTAAAAGTAATGCGACTATAACAAATCATCAAGCGTAGTTTTATTTAGAAAGGATGCAGTTTTTAACATAAAGTACCTTGGGGCTTGGTTATAGATAAGTCTATGAACTTGATTTGTTTATAAAAGCACGTATTAGTGTTTGTTTTCAATGAATGTAACTTGACATTTCTAATCAGAAATTATTTGGGAAAATTATCAATGAAAAACCATTTATTTATGAAAATTGAAGTAACTATTTTCAATACCACACCTAAATGAGTATGTGAAACAATAATGTCACGTTAGATTTAAATTAACTATGGTAGTGTAAATTTTTCTACCAAAGTCGTTTTTGCATAAATAATCATAACTTTTAGCCCCATTCAAATAACCGTTTTTGGTATTTAGTATCATTTTTTGAAACACTCGGGACTTATTCGGCCATCTTGAAATAATAAATTTATGTATAAACGATTAAAAAACAGACGGAAAATTTTATAAATAATTTACATTCAACTCGAATTCTTTGTTTGCATAAATTAAATACTAATAAATAAAAAGTTTTTCGGTTTGCCACTTACAACCAATCGGATTTGTTTTAAATTATCGGCTTTTTATTTTTTACGAGTTTGTTCTATGCCTTAAGCTTGGTTTCTAATAGTTGTAGAAATATTGTGCAGCAGTTGTGCGTTTTTGTTGTACAAAAATTGTTGCCGAAATAGGTTTAATTCTGTCTCCGCAACCTTTGTTTTACAACATAAATTTCGTTGTACAACCGACGTTATGTTGTGCAACTTACGCAAGAAAATGTTTCCATTATAAAGCATTATTGTTGTACAACTGTTGTACGACATTTCTATAACTATTGGAGACCAAGCATTAGTTGCATTGAGTAGAAAATAATGCTAAAAAAACAATGAAAACCAAAAAGTCGGATAAGAGTGGTCATGTTCTGAAACCTGCTCACTCCGTTTATGGTAATGTAATAAAAGTTTATCTGTCTTTGTTTCTTTTTTTTTTTACTCCTGTCTTGGTTTCTGATTTTTTTTTTGTTGATAAAATTAGGATTTTTATTTGATTTTTATCAAAACCGGTTAATCGCAATTATCTTATCAGATGTTTTGAAATTCGATATTCGATTTTAGTCGATTCTAAAAAATGAGCGGCAATGAATCAAAAGATGGCAGAAAAACTCAGGCACGCCGGAACGGCTGAAGGGCAGGGGTGGCAAAAATTAAAAATATCAGGTTTAGAGCTGTGGCTAGGCTCACCCACATCCCCTATCGGAGAGAGGAGGGGGGGGGTAACCAGAAATTTCAGGGGGACCATTTGGAAATTTAATTAGCTTTTTTTTTGGTAATACGTTATTTTATGGTTAACAAACAATTATTAACTTAAACCTTTCTTTAAAACAGAAATATACATTGATAACTTAGAAATAGCTTAGGAGTATATCATTCGTTAGTAATCTCAATTTTGACTTAAATTCTTTTAACGTTGGTAAAGTTTTAAGTTTATTTGCAAGTATTTCATTCCATACCTTAGATCCGCTAATAGAAATTGAAAATTCAGTTACCGCAAAATAACTTTGGGCTGTATATAGGCAATACTTGAATATCTAGTTAAGTATTTGTTCTGATTCATTCTAAATAACGCATTAAAAATATAAGGAATAACATTTTTGTTAGTTTTAAACATTAAAATTAGAAGATGATAAATATTTATTTAAAAATATTTAGTATACTTAACTTAGAAAATAGTGGTTGGGAATGTGTAAAACGGCTGACATGGGGTAATTCTGACTTCATGTTTTTAAATACTCGGTGTAGTTAAAGCTATTTAAAAATATTATAGCGTCTGCATCGTACAGATTTTGGTTACTACGACATATGATTAAGTCTGTGAATTATGAAAAGACAAAAAAAACTAAAATGATATTTTGCGGTATCATAAAGTATAAATATTTATAGCAAACCCAGATCAAAAGTTCATTTTTTTTTAAAAAAATCTTAAAATCATAATCGCTTGTCCAAATTTTAATACGATTTTAAATAAATACGTTTTTAAGGTGAAATGGACATTATAGTTTATGATCTGTTCTGATCGGTTAATATGATCTGTTCTGATCGGTTATTGGCAATTCGTAATTATAAGCTCTTTCGTGGTCGGAATTCTAGTAATTTTTGTAAAAATTGATAAAAATATTGTGTTTTGACAACTATATAGGGGAAAGCGGGGCAACATGGTGAATAGGGCAAGATGGGTTTTCATATAACAACTTAACAAAAATTCTTAAAATTGGGTGAAAACGAAACTGTATTTGCATCTTGTATTTTAAAACACCAATTGGTTTTTTGAAATATTATTAACGCAATTTTATACGCATAAGTATACTTTTTGCGCTTAAAAAAAAATTCCTCTCTTTCGATTTCTCATAATGGATGGTGTCCTTCAAGTTTAACTTCTTTAGAAGTAGTTCTTTGCAACTTGTGTTTATTTTTTGTTACTTTATTTAGAGATATTGGTAGGTTTTAAAATTTTATAAAATTGGAGGTAAAAATAGCATAATAAATCATCTTGCCCCGGTCACGTGATCAGATGACAAATTTTTGAACTTTTTATTTTAATATTTATTTCAAATTGTTATATTTGCAAACAGAAAATTCATGCAGGCAATATTTTAATAACATAAACATACTCAGAAAGTATTATTACTTCACGACTGATAGTTTTGCAATAACTCAGGGCTTTCAAAACGTTCGCCATGTTGCCCCCTTTCCCCTATAGTTAATATACGTCAGAACCGATGAGTAGTAAACTAAGGAACTTTTTCAAAATGTTTTAACTAAATTCATGTTAATGCCGATGAGCGGAATTGATCTAAAGACTCCAAAATGGTGTTCTTTAGATTTTTTTTTTTTTTGTTATTAAGGTGCCCCAAGAAGTTCTTGCGGTCTTGTCACAGAGCACCGCGGAAGTGCATTTAACCAGGAAGTTCACGCCTCCTTCCTTACCTTGACGCGAAATATGTCCAAAGCTCGTTTCGAACCTGGATCTCCTGCTTATAAAGCAAGCGCTCTAACCACTGCGCTACGGCCGCACCGTGGCGCAGTGGTTAGAGCGGTTAGTAGATTCACTATTACGGGTTAGAGTGGTTAGTAGATTCACTATTATGGGTATTAAAAAGGTTCTGAAAATTATATATAAAAATGATAAGTTTTATTTAGATATTAAAAAAACCTGAAGCAAAAAAAACATATAATCTATAGCTCTTGTTTGGACATAATAGGCTGCTAAAACCATACTATGGTTTTGTCCTATAAATCAGATCAATGCTCTATAAGATTTTACTTTAAAGATACTTTATATGATCTCTCCATATTATATTTTCGTCAAGGAGGACACCAAGAAATTTTGGTGAGGCTTCTCTTTTTATTTTGCAACACTCAATACAAAGTTTTGGAAGTTTTAGGAGAATTTTGTCTTGTTCATAATAGCGATGGAAAAAGGTAACCTTTGTTATATTAATTTAAGTGACAACTTGTTTTCTGTAAACCATTCAACAAGACTTGTAGTTCGATCTTTTCAAATTTAACACAGTATTTTTATATCATTATGAGCATAGAATAAGTTTGTATCATCAGCAAACAAGATTGTATCTTATACTTTACAAGATTTACTTAAATCTTTAAATTATAATCATTAACAGGAGTAGGAGTGGTCCTAGTATAGACCCTTGTAGAATCCACAAGCTTACTTATTACGTTGTTAGTTTTCTCAGAGTAATAAGAAATTGCTGTCTATTTGACAAGTAACTTTTAAACCATTTAAAATTTATATATTTATTACCGTAATTTTCTAGTTTGATTAATAAAATATAACGATTGACTGTGTCAAAAACCTTACTGAGATAAAAACAGCTAAAAGTACATTTGTTTCCATCAAATGAGTTAAGAATATCATTAACAAGAAAAACATTTGCCTGATTAGTCAATGACCCTTTTTAAATCTTAATTGTTTATTTTATAGGATGTTAGTAATATCTAAAAAAAAAATGATACAACATTTTATTCATAATATATTCTAATAATTTTGAAAAGCATGGTAGTATGGAGTTAGGTCTGTCATTTGAGATAAAGGTTTATGAGTTCTAGCATGAAGGTTTTCAAAAGCTCGATGTTAGAACTCAAACTTTATTTGATAAATATTGTATTAATTTTTAAAGTTACTGGGAATAGGCACAGCCATAAAGTTTAAACTATTTTCGCTCATTATCATTTTTAAACTTCTTTCATGCTTTAAAAAAAAAAAAAAATAATTAATATTATTAGTATTTATTTGTATTAATTAATAGTCAATTGAAACATTTAATCCATTTAAATTTATGCATATCTTTTATAGATGTTCATTTGGACTTGGTTATTTAGTGTTCTCGTTAAATATCATTGCGTTTTTCATTTTTCATTTCTCGTTAAGTATCATTGCGTTTTTCTATTCTGGAAAAATGGTTTAATTATTTATACAAAAGAAATGCAGAGATATCAAATATCCAAAAATCATGAAAATGGAAGGCGCTTTTTCGAAGCTGTTTGTTTTGTTTGTTTGTTTACATTTGACGTAATATATATAAATTACATATTTTTCAAATACAAACAAGCCTTCTAAAAGAAGATCTTACAATGATCTTATCGTCAGAAGCCTTTTACAAAAGAGATATTATAAAAACGCCTTTTTACAATAAAAGTACGTAAAAAATCATATAAAAACAATAAATCGTATTTACATAAATGAAAATAAATTGTAAACAAGTATAAAACAAAACTTGAACATACATGACAATAAAGTTTATTATT